CTGAAAAATCTCCTAAATGCAGAATTTTTATTCGAAACTGTGGATTAATTGGCTCAGATCACCAATAAGAACCGACTTTTTGAGCTCCAAAACTCTTCATTCAGAAGCACTGACAGTTTTAAAATCCCAAAACTAGTTATATCAGCAATCATATTTAATAGTCTTTTCTAATTGACTATAAGTGTTAATAATTATAAAACACTATTTCAATCAATTTGAAACTATGAAGGCACCACTGTGATTAATACAGAATTTGTCCCTTTGATGCAGTAACAGCCTCTGCTCTTCTGAGAAGACTTTACACTGGAGGTTGGAACATGTATTTGCTCCACAGCCCAGTGCTGGGGGGCTTTATACCCCTCTAGTCCACGCTTGGCATCGGGCACCGTGACCCTCATGTACAGCTGCTCCAGAACGTTCCATTCTATTGGTCAGTGCTTTTCTATTGAGATTGTAGCACTGTGTGTGCACAGTTGAACACTGGTGTCAGTAATGGGTGACCTTAAAGTAGCTGAATTCCACTCATCTGCAGGGCTGCTGGACACTTTTAAACACAGTATGTTCCCCTAAACCGGCCTACAGGAAGACATTATTAGCCAAGATAAAAAGTTCACTGGTTCTTACCAATCTATCAGCACAAAACACAAAATCGCCTCTACTAGTAGACCTGAGAGAGAGAGAGAGAGAGAGGGGGGAAGAGGAGGGGAGGGAGACAGAACATGGCACCGATGATGTCTTGGCCAATACAAGGAAATGACACAACAGCCAACAAGAAGATGACTCACTTTGTGCACTGAAGGGGAATTCCACTGATTATTTTGAATTTCTGCCCAATTCAGTCATTCAGAGTGGTTCGATGTGAAATGGTTCAGATGTCTTTACAGTGGTGGTGATGGGAACCAGGGGTCGCCATGATAACAACACAAATACAGACATTTTATTTACTATCCAAAACCACCAGTGATTGTTTTTAGGCCACAATCTTCTCAACACACGTTTAAAACAATGACTCAGCCATCAGGCAGCATATTCATAACCATTTCATACAATGACTTTAATAGGGGGGCAGCTTTTAGAGGCATCAGACGTCTGGTTCCTATCACCAGCACTGTGAACAATTCTGACTCCCTGGAAAGGAGCATTTCACACCAAGCCACTCTGAATGACTTTGTTTACATCTTAAACATTTAATCATGCAGAAATTTGTAAAAATCGGTGGAGTTCCCCTTTAGGTGCAGATCAGCTCTCCTACTCAGGAGATGCTTCTTGCGCTCCAGGATCCTCTTCGAATTTTCCGTTCCACCTGCAATGGTGCAGCAGTTAAAGTGAAACCAATTTTTAAAATGTCTGCATAACTAAACGTTTAAGATGTAAACAGTCATTCAGAGTTTGGTGTGAAATGCTCTGTTCTAGAGAAAGAGTCAGAATGGTTCACAGTGGTGGTGATAGGAACCAGACATCCACATCATAGAAAGTTGCTACACAAAATGAAAATGAATATGTTGTCTAACGAATAAGACATTATATTTTGATAGTTTTGTGAAATGTTTTGGCTAAAATCTCTCGTTAATCCATTTAGTCTATCTATTTATGGTGGAGGGGTACATGCAGGGCGCTGTGAGGCAAAATAGTCCCCACATAAAACTTTTTTTTTCTCAGATTTATTACTATTTTACCATCATTATCATTACATATAGGCACTCAGAAGACATGTGTAGGTTCACTGGTGGTTCTGGATAGTAAATAAAATGTCTATATCTGAGCTGTAGTCATGGCGACCCCTGGTTCCTGTCACCACCACTGTAAAGAAACCGGAGTATAATTTCATCCACAATGGACCTTTTTACATCAAAGCACTCTGGATGACTTTGTTGACGTTTCGACCACTTAATTATGCAAAAATGTTGAAAAACCAGCGGAATTTCCCCTAAAATTCAAGCTCTCGAATGTAACTGCTGCACCATTTAAGGTGGAACGGGAAATTGGACTAAGAAGCATCGCGACAGGACCCGATGCCACTCACTTGTCCCTGATGATGGTCTGCAGCTCTCGTATTTGGTCGTTTAAAGGCAGCAGTTTGAGCTGAGGTCCTATCTGCTTCTGGATCTCGCCGTCCTGTTCGTGTTCGTGTTCGCGGTCAGGACTGTGCTCTCCGCCGGCGCTGGACGAGAAGCGGACCTGCTTGGCCGCCGCCACCGCCGCGTGCTCCTCCTGCTGCCTGCCGCCGTTAACCAGCTCCTTCTGACACGGCATCCTGTTCTCAAGGCGGCTCGTTTCCATAGGAACGGAGCCTCTCTTCAGTCAGACGAACCGGGGCGTCTCGCTGAGGGTCACGGTGGGCTATCCTGATCCTGAGGGACTGTTCTCTAACCAGGTAGTTCTAGCTAACCTAGCTCTCCATTTTCTCAAGCACAACGGACGCACGGACCCTTAATCCATGACGTGGGCTTCCAGGAACAAAAACAGACCAACGGGACGTGACGCAGGGCCCCAAGCTGATGTCTGAATGGGTGAAACCGATGTCAATCACCGACTGAGCGGTACAGGGGGCGGAGCAAAATGACATATTTACCTAATTTTGCCTAATAAGCTCAAAGTAACGACCTATTATCCTGAAATAGTTCCTTACTTTTGCCATTATTTCGAAACAGTAACTCATTAAATTAACTCATTAAAAGTAGGGAGAGATATATGATAAATGCAATATATGATAAATGCATGTAAAACTTCACAATGTCTATGCCAGGAGTGTCAAACTCTGTTCCTTCCAGGCCACAGCTCTGCAAACTCCAAAATCCAAACTTCAGTCAGCGTGAAGTGGCTCCCAAATTTTACCGATATGTGTATAATGTTCAGCAATCTTCGTTAGCAAAGGGCTCATAAAGGCGCTTCATGAGGCCTATCAGATGCAGGAGATTTTAAAGAATTGTTAAAGTAGCTATTTAGCTTCTGAATACTTGAAAAAAGTACATTTGGTTCAAATACTCAAATAAATACTTTGAATAAAAAAAGCATGGGTAGTTTGTAAAGCATAAAATGAACTGTTCACTCCCCAATCCATACAGTCCATATACATAAAAAATATCTGCAAAAACAGCTCTTTGTCATGGTTGTCATGGTTGTGATGTGACCTTTGCATATAAGCCTGTTCAGTCTACACCAGTTTAGCCCCCCCACTCATACATATATATATATATATATATATATATATATATATATATATATATATATATGACATAAAACATATATATGTATGTATATATATATATATATATATGTTGTGTGTGTGTGTGTGTGTGTATATACAATAATAATCAAGTGTTCTTCTAACAGAAGAACTCTTTTTGTGCTATATTTGCAAAAATACCATATGCAGAACCATATACAACACATTCTCCATCAATCTGAAGAACCATTTCATCATACAAAGAACCTTTTAAGCACAAAATGGTTCTATCTAGCACCCATGGTTCTAAATAGAGTCACTGCATTTACTAAAGAACCCTTGAAGACCCATTTTTTTAAAGAGTGTAGGGTACTTTCTATTGGGAGGTGTCTGTCCCAAACTCAAACTCCTGAATTTACACTTAAAAAATGATTTACACTTGTAAAAATTTAAATTTTATTGCATTTGTTCATGAAAAAAGATTTCTATTTCTTTTCATGTTCTTTACTGAAATCATGTTTAATTTTTTAATCAAAAAACTTTATTCAAAAAAATGTCACAGTATTTCATGTCACTACCGAAACACAGTTTTACTTCATAGCCTGAGGTGAGGTATCTGTCCCAAACCCTAACTTCTAAATTTGCACTTGTAAAAATTACATTTGCATTTTTATTTTTTAAAAGTTCTTTTTAATTTCGTTTCATTTTCTTTAATGAAATCATGAGTTTCATTCTAAAATAAAAAAAAAAATCATTCAAAAAATGCTGTCCTACGTTTTCATGTCACTACAGAAACAGAGTTTTACAATGTGGGCGGGGTCTTATTCTAGCCCCGCCCCTGCATTTTAGAGCAAGAAGTTGGACTGCATCCCTGTCCCTCACGACCACATGCTGAGCAGTTAGAACCCATTGTTTTGTGTCCCAAAGTCTGAAAATCAGTGTGGAACATTGAGGGTTGTCAGTAACGAAACAATTAAGTAAACTTTTTTTGCGTTTTAATAAAAAATATGATGATTATCTGGTGTACAAAGCTGTGTTTTCAAATCTTGCTCAAAATAAGCTAAAATTGAAATTGTCAGTACCGAAACAGTCACTACTGAAACATTTGGTAAAGTTTCAGTAGCGCTGTTATTGTTTCGGTAGTGACAAAATGGAAAATCAAGCGTTTGTTTATACAAATATACATGCATATTTAACTATTACGCATATTTGATTGATAGCTTATGCGCATGCGCGCTGCGCTGCACCTGATCAACAGTGGGGCGCGTCACCGCCGCCCGAGCGAGCGCGCGCGCGCGCGGCCGGGGCGGTCTGTGGGCGCGCGCTCTTTATGGCGAGCCTCAAAAAGAGACGGGGGTGGGGGGGGCAGCTCACGAGCGCGCCGTTGGTTGTCAGGGCCGGGGTGCAGCTGGGAAAAAAAACAGCCCCCTCAAGTAACCCCCATCCCCCCTCCTTCCCAAACCCCGACCACCCCCCATCTTCAGCTCTCGCGCATACATACACCGGGGCAGCTATAGCAAAGTGAGCCTGCGATGTCGCGCGAAGGAGTCGCTCGCGCGGACCTTTGTGCTTTGCGTGGCGAATGCAGGGAATGAGATGGAGCGGTGGTGAAGAGTGGAGGGGGAGTTGAGGTGGGGTGGGGTGGTGGTGGGGCGGGAGTTGGGGGGGAGGTGGTTGCTCCGGAGGCGCGAGGAGCGCGTCCACCACCCTGCCGCCGAGGAGGCAGTCCGGGCTCGCGCGAGAGAGCACGAGAGAGAGAGAGTGTGTAAGAGAGAGAGAGAGAGAGAGACAGAGAGAGAGAGAGAGAGAGTGTGTGAGAGAGAGAGAGAGAGAGAGAGAGGTGGGCAACATGCTAAGACTAAGAGCGCAGCGCCGAGGAGGAAGAAGCGCCGTGACAATCTGCTAAGAAAACGATCAAAGGAAAACAAGCGGCGCGAGGTGAGTGCGTGCGTGTGTATACGTGTGTGTATATGTGTGTGTGTGAGATGCGGTTCGCTGGGCCAGTGTGACGCGCGCGTCAAAGAGCTGCATTGGCTAGGGGGGTCGAGAAATGGGGGAGCTGGTGTCAGTGGTCATGATGAATCCATCCATATTGGACAGGTGCATGGATGCGGCTGAGACGCGTAAAGACGCAGGAGAAAACGGCCCTCGCGCATATTGACGAAATACGTGAGGCAAAGCCAAACATCAGGCTCGCGTACGCACACATACACCCCCCCCCCAACACACACACACACACACACACACACCCCTCCTCCTTACACCGAGCCTGCATGCGCATAAGCTGAAGTTATTCGGATTTTTCCGTTCCACCTTAAATGGTGCAGCGCCTGAATGGAACTGCTGCACCATTTAAGGTGGAACGGACAAACTCGAACGAGGGAGCTGCAGCATAGGGAGAAAAAGCAAGGCTGCCGTTCTCCAGCAGCTGTCTCGTGCATTTTAATATGGCTGTTATTGGAAGGGTCAGTCGACCTGTGCTGCATCCGGCGATATGGGGAGGAGAAGGAGGAGGAGGTGGGGGTGTATGTATGAGGATGCGTGCTGGGGCCTTAATCAGAGGGGGGAAAAATCCTGAATCAAAACCTGTTACGTCTGTGCAAATAAAGAGAATTGCGCGTATTGGACGCAGAGGCCTGAGCTCAGCTATTGGCTATGCTGGCTATATTGGCTATTGGCTGTTTGTGTGGATTGTTCTCAGCAAGGGAGCACGCATTCTTCAGTGTTGTACAGCTCAGACCACCTAAACAGTGATGTGTCTTTGTCATTTAATAATGATAATAATAATGAATGAATGGAAAAGAGGCTCAGCAGCACTGCTAGCCTAGCTAGTCCACATGCTGCAGTATGTAAACACTGGCTTTTTTCTCCCAGAATCTGTCCCAACTGTTATTTTGGGTGACGTTCCAATCCGAAAATGAAAATTACACCCTCGGTCACTTCCCCTCATTCAGTACTGCGAATTACTGGGCTTGTTTTTGACTGTAGATGTCATGTTCTTTTTTTGCTTTTGTTGTATTTTCAGAGGTGCACCTACTGCTGAGGAATTGTGGGTACAGATTGCAAAATTACGTTATTTGCAATCTGGAAGAGCTGCTTTTGGGAAAAATGACCGCTGTAGAGTCCTGAAGGATGGACTGTCCTGAGTGAAAGTAGTACTCACAGTGGTGGTGATAGGAACCAGATGTCTATACCTCTATAAGCTCCTTCACAGAAGGTTATTACATGAAATGGTTATGAAGCCGCTGTCAGATGCTTGATATGATATGCTTTTAAAGGATTTAGGCCTAAATGAGATTTTTGAATACCCGTTCATGGTGGAGGGGTACGTGCAGGACATTTTGAGGCAAAATAGTCCCCAAAGAAAACTTATTTTTCCAGATTTACCACCATAATCAACATTAGGTTCGACATCGAACCATACACAACACATTCTCCATCAATCCGAAGAGTCATTTCACCATGCAAAGAACCCTTTAAGCATGAAATGGTTCTATATAGAACCCATGTTTCTAAACAGAGCTACTGCTACTGCCTTTACTTAAGAACCCTTGAAGACCCATCTTTTTAAGAGTGTAGGGTACTTTCCAGGGGGAGGTGTCTGTCCCAAACCCTAACTTCTAAATTTACACTTTACAATTTACACTACATTTTCATTGCATTTTTTCTTTTTTAAAAGATATTTTTATTTAATTTCTTTTCTTTTTGTTTAATGAAATCATGAGCTAAATTTTTAAATCAAAAACTTTATTCAAAAAATGCTGTCCTATGATTTCATGTCACTACCAAAACACTGTTTTACTCTGTAGGCGGAGCCTTGTTTAGCCACGCCCCTGCATTTTAGAGCAGGAAGTGAGGCTGCATCCCTGTCCCTCATGGCCACATGGTGGGCAGTTAGATCCCATTGTTTTGAAGTAAATGTGTCCCAAAGTCTGAAAATCAGTGTGGAATATTAAGAATTGTCACTACCGAAAACACAGATTTTCTGCAATCAAGTAAACATTTTTGCATTTAAATGAAAAATATGATATTATCTGGTGTGCAAAGCTGTGTTTGCTAGTCTTGTACTGGCTGTCGTTTTTGAGGTTTGCTCAAAATTAGCAAAAATTGAAATTGTCAGTACCGAAACAGTCACTACTGAAACATTTGATAAAGTTTCAGTAGTGCTATGATTGTTTTGGTAGTGATAAAATGGAATGATCAATCATTTGCTTGTTTATTTGTTTATATATATATAAATATATATACATATATATTTAACTGTTATGCATATTGTAGATTTACCACCATAATCAACATTACATATAAACACTCAGAAGACACGTGTGGGTTCTGGATAGTAAATAAAATGACTATATTTGTGTTGTAGTCATGGCGACCCCTGGTTCCTATCACCACCACTGTAAAGACAGAGTCGTCAGTTTCGCTACGATGAACTGTTTCATATCAAACCACTCCGAATGACTCTGTTTACATCTCAGCCTTTCAATTATCAAATGCAGTGATTTTTAAAAAATGGGTGGAATTCCCCTTTAACTCTTTATAATAAGTCATAAAAGTGTAAAAAAAAAATGAGTGTGTTGACAGTACAGCTTATTACTGGAAATGACTTCCCTGACAGCAGGGCAAAGCCGGTGGTCCACTGGCGTTTTGCTCAGCGTTTTCTGGGCGGCCCACCAGTGTTTAAGCAGAGTATTGGACAAAGTGAACTTATCATCACTCATTTTCCAGTCACAGTCCAATTCACTTATTTTCCTTTATTTCTTTCTTTAGCTGTACTTTATAAATTAGTGTAGTAAATAATTTAAATCTAGCTCAGCATCAGTAACAACATTTTCTAATAAAATAATTTTATATTAGACCTAGTCATTATTTGTCTTAGTTTGTTTTCTAAAATAAAAGTCTCTGTGCATTTAAAATCTGTATTTTGAGGAGATTAAACACTAGGTAGAGCTTGTATGCAGGACAGTAATCTGGGTGGTCCGAGGCTGGACCAGCAGTGGCAAACGGTCAGTGGGTTGCTGACCTTATCAAGCCATTTAACCGATATATGCTCACTGTCTGGGTTTGTGTGGTTATGGTACCATTAAAATCATACAGCAGTCTGTAAAATAAAGTAAAATTAATAACAACATCTAATAGGTATATAAAAGATTTTAGGCTAGATTAGTTTAATTATTCCCACTGAACAAAAGAGTCTACTTTTTTTGTTCTATTCCAGCCCACACAGTACTATGTGCTAGCTAACTATCTCTCTCATTTCTGTCTGTTCTTTACAGGAGGTGTGTCAGTAGGTCAGTGGAGGAGGTTCTAGTTTTTTGTTGCGAAGCAGCTACACTCTTAAAGGGCCCATATCCTACATTCCTCTTGTGTTTTGTTTTCCCCCCTGAAGTCCACTTACAACATTTGTGTGGTTTTATATTCCAGTAGCCCAATTCCTAAAATTCCCAATTCATTTTTACACAAACATTTTCCAATCTCTCTTTATCCCTTAGAATTAAGCAGGCTCTTTTTGTTACTGTGCCTTTAAGGCTGTTATATGTAAATGAGCACTGTTCTGATTGGCTGTCCAGTATTGTACCTCATTCAAAATACTTTCTGGGCTAAAACAATACTTACAACTTCAGCATAGGCGGAACCAAATTGCTGTAGGCCGAATAGGTGGATATATATAAATGTGTTGGCTTTTGTGACATCACAAAAACTTTGAATATGTTTTTGCAGCATAGTTTCCATATATGAACTGTATGGACCGGGAAGTCAGTGATATATTTTAAACACTTTAACAGTGTTTACATACTACATCAGAAACATGCAGTTTCCCATGAAATTGGCCCTTTAAAAATAAAGGTTCCTGAATGGTTCTTGTCTTGGATGTAGCGTTCTAGGAAAAGCCTTGCTGTTTGTTGCACTCCAGACGTTTTCCACTGTTTCTAAAACAGGTTGTGAGTTTGCTTATGATCTGATCATAGATTAATATTCCAGTCTCTCCTTTCAGTCCAGCAGTCAGTTCAGTAGAATTCAGTAGCACGTTTCCATTTATCCATCTGCACTCATTAATCCTGGTTTCATTCAACTAGTGATGATTAAACTCGGCTCTTTAAAATAAAGTTCCAAAACAGGGTTCTTTGGTGAAATGAGATCAAAGAACCACATTTGGTTCCCTGTTGAACCTTGTAGTGGACGGGTCTTTAAAGAACCATATCGTTGATCAAACATATAAACATTTTCAAATTTTCTGAACGTATCGCTCCTCAGTCCATTCAGTCCATATAGCCAAAACTAAACCGCCTGTTTCGAGTCCTTTTTTTTGTGATGTCACAAAAACCAAATGTAGTGTACATATATCCACCTTCTCAGTCTACAGCAGTTCAGCCCCGCCCACTCACACTGACGTTATAAGGAGAGTTTCAGGCTGGACTGCTTTTGAATGAGGCACAATACAGGACAGCCAATCAGAACAGAGCTCATTTACATGTAGCAGTCTTAAAGGCACAGTAACAAAAACAGCAAGGGATAAAGAGAGATTGGAAAATGGTCAAGTTAAAAGGAACCAGGACTGTTTATGGTACATAGACTCACAGAAACATTATAAATGAACCTCAGATGGAAAAAATAAGATAAAGAAACATACGGGCCCTTTAAAGCAAGAACCGTTTAGGAACCTTTACTTGTAGGAGTGTAATAGCAATGTTGATGTTGCTAGCAGCCTCTCAGGTGGCCGCTGGTCAGTGTCCTAAAAAGTCCCCTGTAGTACCTTCTCAGAAAAATGGTACTAAACTGTCACTGGGTCAGTGGGGTGGTTCCTTCAAAGTATCTTTAGTCAGGGAACATAACTGAACCATAATCCACTGAAATGATATGTTCTAAGCTGTACTGACTCCACACACCCCGCCTCTTCTCCAGGCTTTTATTTTACTGTTCCGTTTTAAAACATT